TTAGTTATGTTTTTAAAAGAAACATTTATTACGTAATCAAAACCTCATACTTTACAGAACTTCTTCACTCAGACTGCAAACTACATTACGCAAACATATTTCCTCGATACCTTTACAAGTAAGTAGCTCGTTAGCTCACGTGTTACACAGTATCTGACTTTAAACGTCATTCCATCTAATCACGTGATATATTCATATGTGTCGTCAATCGCACGGATTTACTCATTATATTTGTGTTCATATGCGTGTATGTGCCCATATTGGTTTGTTTGAGCTTCGGAGTTAGGCTGTTTGTTAAGACGTCTGAATTTTATCAACAACAAATTAGGGACGGGTGGCGCAGATAGCCCTCGTGTAGCTTTGCGCGAAATTCAAAAACAAACAAACAATCAAGAGCCATGTAACGTTAGAGATCCGATATAAAAATATAATATCGAAAGGAGTTGGGAAATAGATGATTACTTATATGAAAAACCTGCTATTGGCCAGAAGGCTTCACTAGCACTGGATTTGGCATATGTAGCGTGGTTTTATTACATTAGTAGAACGTGTCGAAATTCGACAAAATACATAGAGTTGCGGTATTTCGTTCAATTCGCATTCTTACAGAGCACAGATACCCCATTGTGTAGCTTTGTGCTTAACTTCAAACAAACAATAATTACGGTACATTGCAGCCACTGTCTAAAACTAAGAAATATTGAGATCATATTCGAAAAGACGTTTACACAACTTCCTTGTAATCAACATTTTTCAGTATTTGCTTCTTTAAGGACGTAAATTTTAACCGATCGAATGATCGTGACCTGCATACCATATAAAAAAATTGGATAAGCTGAGTGCAGCCCTGACAGTCAATCATCCGTCTTCCCAAATTATATTATCTTAAGATATTCTTATATTTATTTCTCTCGTAGGTTCTTAGCATAAATAAAAATCTTGTCATCGGCTCTTGTTTAGTGTTTTCTGATCCGAAAGTTAACAATTATTTTCTCGAATAGCTATAATATAAAAACAAGACCCGGCATCCCCATCCCACCAAACATGCTCGCCCTTTCAGCCGTGGGGGCGTTATAATGTGACGGTCAATCCCACTATTCGTTGGTAAAAGAGTAGCCCAAGAGTTGGCGGTAGGTGATGATGACTAGCTGCCTTCCCTCTAGTCTTACATTGCTAAATTAGGGACGGCTAGCGCAGATAGCCCTCGTGTAGCTTTGCGCGAAATTCAAAACAAACAAACAATATAAAAACAACTGGATCTTTCGGACCTCTTTATCACCACTACCGTTACTATAGAGTTAAAAAATGTTACGATATTTATACTTGTAAGGGTAGCGCATGTGCTAAGTTTATTTGTCCTTTCAAATGGAATTATATAATAACCTTAATTAACTTTACGTTAGCATAGATTAACAACCACGTGAGTTTTGTCAGATAAATGCACCTTGACACTTTTTACCAAGCTGCACGAGATCTATCTGCGCTAGCCGTCCCTAATTTAGCAGTGAAAGACTAGAGGGAAGGCAGCTAGTCATCATCATCCACCGGCAACTCTTGGGCTACTCCTTTACCATCGAATAGTGGGTTTGATAGTCACATTATAACTCCCCCACGGCTGAAAGGGCGAGCATGTTTGGTGGGACGGGGATTCGAACCCACGACTCTCAAATTGCGAGACAAGCTCCATAACCACCTGGTCATGCCGGGCCCACGTGCCTCTTGTATCCATTATGGTCAGAAAAGTTGACACTCTTTTTATTTTATATTTGAGGTCAATCAAACCGCACTTGCTGAAAGGCCGAATATTTTTGTTCACTGGATAGTATCTTTCATGCAACATTAGAAACTTTGTAACTTTTGTTCAGAAATAGATATATATAGAAATGGTGGGTATGAGTTATATAATAGAACTGCTTAAAAACTTGAGGCACATTAATATATATGTAGATTTGTTTTGTATTTTCTTCTCATCGGTTGATTAATATATTACCTGTCATATATTCGTTTATTTATTCTGCGTTACTCCAATCAACTTCGCTAACCCTAACAAATACCGAAAAACTTAATAATAACTTATTGAATTGCAATGAACAACTAAAAAAACAATTTTTTTTATAAACGTATTAAAAATCTTTAATTATATCATGGCAAACTAAACGATCTTGGGCAAATAAGTTTTGGTAGACATATTTCTCCCATATATTTTAGAAAACGTAAATCGGTTCCAGCGTGTCCAAGCCTGAATCAAAGTCATTAAAACGAGACCATTGAAAGTTATCCTGTATATTAAAATTTGATTTCACTGGTACTCAATAAAAGATTCTGGATAGTTTTCCTTTCCAAATTTTAACCCTAATCAAATGGTTGACTGTGTACAGCCGTCTCTAATTTGGAGCTGATAGTCTAGTCATAGTCAAATTTTGTCTGTTCGACTAGTACAACTTAACCATCACTCTTATAGCGCACCTACACATCTACGCGGGGCGAGTTTTTTTGTAACAACGGGCTACGAACCATAAACCTCCGGATTCATAATCTGAACACACTAACTACTAGGCCTAGGAAGTTATAGAGAAATATTTTTTATTATCACTGTTTCTACATGGCTTTAATATATTTGCAAACATTCCAATAATATTAAACGTTAGTCTTATGTTAATTTCCTTACAGTGATTTGTTCGCTCTTTCCATTTAAATATTATTATTATCGACGTACTTTATAAACAGCTTAAAGTTTGATTTGGTCAGTTGAGGTTCGGAGCGTGAAATAATTATAACTCTACAAGCTTACGTTCTATGTACCTGTGAAAATAGGACTAAAATGATTACCTTATAACATTGTCACAAAACTGCACGGCTCCAGGGAACAGTCTGCAAGGAAGTATGGTAGGTGTTTCTCAGTGCTAAACCTAAAGTTATAACAAAGGAAGTGAGTGTTTTAAAGCCGTACTTACTTGTCTTACGTGATACGTCGCTTTCTCTGTTCACTTCGATCGTTGTACTTGACTTAAACATATTCTTGACAGGCAAGTTTCCTTTTCTGCAAATAAAGAAAGAAGACGGGTTATTCTTCTTAGCAGCATGTATGTAGAACGGACCAGTTTTTGTTGCATGACTTGTTTGCTAAATGAAACTGGTTCCATCTTAAAATTATTCTATCTAGCTTCAATCTATCTATCTATCTATTTATCTATTATGTTTTTCTGTTAGAATATTCACAGTACTTTTGGTTAGTCCTAACCCTACTGAGGACACGTTCTAAAAACTCAAAGAAAGAGCTTCTAAAGAGTCAAATTGCAAATCATTATACGTTGCCATGGTTTTAATTTGTTACGTTTTTCACGTTTTATCTATAAAACAACTAGCATATACGGCTATAACTTAATCTCTCCGATAAAACGAGTTTGAGGCTGCGATCTTATTTAGAAGATAGCAACCACATAAAGTTCGCACTCGCCAACTCACTACACCCTAGAGCTTGAGTGGCAGATATGGCTTAAATGTTATCAATATTTTCTCTGAAAATAAACAGACCTGGTAAAAAAAAAAGTTATAATTTCAACCTGTGCCCGTGTCATTTGTTTCTTAGAATACTGACGTGGTTTTATTTTAAAAAAAAGTCATCTCTGTATCATTTGAGTGTTTGCAACACAGTAAAAAAACACTGTATAGATATATTTATATATGTGTGTGTGTATGTACATTTTTCGCATATATAAAATAGACTGTATGTTTCTTTGATACTTGAGCTCTTTCCGTCACGGTCATATATCACATACGTATACAAAGACATCGCCTAAATTGAAACAGTATTCAAACTAAGTTCTTTTTGGTTCAGGTTAAAGAATACTTATTTCAGTACCAGTCTTGCATATCTAACTATATATAATCTGTAGAATTTCAAAGCCAAAAAAGTATGTTAAACTTTTGTTTTACTTATTCAACGCCATTATTTTAAACAAATATAAGAAATATCCTTTGATGCTATCATTCCTTATAGTTGTTTCAGAAGGTTGAACATGGAGAAATGTAATACTTTTGAAATTTTACTGCCTCTTTTTTTTTTACATTCCAGTGTTACAGTTTCTGATTTATACTTTATAAAAATGTGCTTTTTATATACGGATAATAATGCTTTGCTGATATGTACGTTTTAGAAATGAGATGAAAACTTTACTCGGTGTTTTAGATTCAGGGCTTCACACTTTACAACTCAGTGTTTTATATTCGGAGCTTCGAACTTTACTGCTAAGTGTTTTATATTGAGGACTTCATACTTTACTGCTCAGTGTTTTATATTCGGATCTTCAGACTTTTCTATTCAGTAATTTATATTGAGGACTTCACACTTTACTGCTCAGTGTTTTATATTGAGGACTTCATACTTTACTGCTCAGTGTTTTATATTCGGAGCTCCAAACTTTACTGCTAAGTGTTTTATACTGGGGACTTCATACTTTACTGCTCAGTGTTTTATATTCGGAGCTTCAGACTTTTCTATTCAGTAATTTATATTGAGGACTTCACACTTTACTGCTCAGTGTTTTATACTCGGAGCTTAAGACTTTAATACTCAGTGTTTTATATTGAGGGCTTTACACCTTACTACTCAATGTTTTATATTCGGAGCTTCATACCTTACTGCTGAGTGTTTTACATTGAGTGCTTCACACTTTACTACTCAGAGTTTTATACTGAAGGTTTCACACTTCACTACTCAGTGTTTTATATTTGGAGCTTCATACTTTACTTCTCAGAGTTATATATTCGGAGCTTCATACGCTCACCAGTTTTTTACACAGATTATACAGAGCTAATGAAGTCCATAAATAACAAAAACACAGCATATTTCCTAGACTTCGAATGATCACTAATTTCAAGTTATCTGTTTTTTCATCTCGACAAAATATATGATTTAAACTTCCAAATTAATCTACGAGATCAGAAATTTTCAACCAGCTCAGCAAATCTAAAGCTGTCTTCATACTAAACATTTCTTTCTTCTTTTTTTATACTTTTCTGAATAATACCTCTCATGCCAAGATAATAACGATAAAATCCTCTGGAACTTTCCATGCATTTTCAGTAGCTGTAAGAACTCTTTCGGCTAGCTCGAAACTAATACAGTTGCATGATTTACTCAATATACAGATCACTAACAAGAATTTCGCGTTTTTATATGGAGCTACGTTCACATTCGCAACAATGAGAATTTAGATATATATATATAATAATTAAAAGTTTATACATATCATTAGTCCCGTGTACAATTGTACTGAAGTACTGAAACGCTTGCGTACTTAACGTAGAAAAATGTTATTCAGAACAGCTATGAGCCATTGAAGATTCATTCTTCAAGATGAATCACTGTTATTTTTATATAATTAATACTTGAAATCGTCGGTACTTGGTAAAACTCCATAATTACAGAATTGAGTAAAACGAAGACAATTGTATGTTTCATAAATATTTCATTTGTTACGACCATGGTGGTGATACATAAAATATTTGTGAAATGTATGATCGTCTACTGTTTTTATATTGAATAAAACCAGTCAAGAATATTATATCACTATACATATACGTTTTATCAGCCGAGATTCTTTAAGAACTTTTAGTTTCACTTTTGAAGTATCATAAGAGATGGCCCGGCATAGCCAGGGGGTTAGGGTGCTCGACTCGCAATCTGTGGGTCGTGGGTTCGAATCCCCGTCACACCAAACATGCTCGCCCTTTCAGCCGTGGGGGCGTTATAATGTGACGGTCAATCCCACTATTCGTTGGTAAAAGAGTAGCCCGAGAGTTGGCGGTGAGTGGTGATGACTAGCTGCCTTCCTTCTAGTCTTACACTGCTAAATTATGGATGGCTAGCGCAGATAGCCCT